AACACAACCCAAGTAATAGCTTCACCCACCGCTGTTAGCCTCTGACGGGTGCCAACCCACCAGTCATCGGCTTCCTCTTCCAGTTGATGCATACCGAATCACACCTTTTGCGCCTCTGAGAAATTCACGACTCTAAAGATATTATCAATATCCTTGAGCCAAGTTTGCGCTCCATCAAGATCGTACCTACCTTCAAAACAGGCAGATGATTCCTCTGAAACATCTCCAAAACACGAGATCCATCATTAGGATGATGTTGGACATCCTGAGCAACAACCTGCAAAGCAGCAACGAGTGTAGTATCATTCCTTCCATCCATTCTACACATAGAAAACTAATGTTAGAAACAACGCATCAATAGTGTATTCACACTAATCGACTGACAAGACATGTTCATCATAAGAAAACTTGGTCGGACAGACTAACCTACTATGCTACCACTAATGTAACACCCTTCTAAAACCCTATGAATAAATAACAAATAGATCAGAGTAATTCACCATTCAAGGGTGTCACATCTTCATATAAAACATCATAATAAAACATCATGCTCCGTAACACGGGTTTTCATGATTTTAAACACATATTCCTTTAAATAACATCGTTAACTTAACACATTGCAACAGAAATAATATTTCAAAACATCTTTATTAATACTTCACAATCAAATACCATCTCTCAACATTGTTAATGATTTTACACTCCAAAATATCTTAAAACAAAACAAATGTTCTCAAACAACATAACATAAAGAACATATAGTCAAATCAATCGATCTCAAGACCCCGATGTTACATATCAGAGCAAGACTCTCTCATTCAATGTAAAGTAAATAAACACACTCTGAAGCTATCCTTTAGGCTTCAACAGACTATTCCTGATCACCTGCAAGTTACCCACGGATAGAGGCAACAAGCAGAAAGAGTGAGTAATCATAATCATTATAAAAGACATAAGAAATAAATATAATAGATATACACATAGGCAAGACATCACACATCATCAGAACCTCATGTTATACTCACCCATTTCACAATATCATCAATACACAACAACATTTATCATCAACATCACTTAATCAAAACATTATGCAATGTCACGTATAATGTAATGCAACTTCATAGACTCATGCATATGGTAACAAAACTTCAATGATGATCCAATTATCATTTTATCCAAAGATCCTCACAAATAGAACCAATTTCCACTTGGAACCAGAGTATTTCATAATATTGCACTCAATCCACACTATGGGAGTGATGTCTTCACTGGACTATCATCATATCATCATCACTGGACCGAAGTCCTAAATTATGCCATGAATGCATGATGCGCAAAAACATAATAAACACGACCATGGCTAGTCAAAACATACCATCATCCATGAATTCATCACATACATCATAATACACAAAGCATCATTACAACATCATCATATCATCATAGCAACAACATAATACCATCACAGTATCAACAACTCACCATATAACATGCATCAATGTAACCCAACATAGGGAAACCTAACTTCATCATAATTTAAGTAATGGAAATATACATCTTAATACTTATTTTATTCCATCTAATTAAAGTTCATCGAGTTAGCTACTCAACGCTTTGAATGGCACCTCAAACCGAGTTCTAAAATTCAAGTTATGGAACTTTGAAAATCCTACTATTTTCCATCGCCTAAAGCTCCGCCCAACGACGTGGGAGCGACAATCAACCTATTCTTCTCTGGCCCCCATCTCCCGGAGATGCATCTTGCTCGCCTGGAGACACCCCTATCACTCTTGCATCACCCGACGATGACGCGAGTGACACACTCCAGTAGCTCCACTTTTCAGCCCATTCCTTCGCTTCCAATCTCGCCTGGCGACGACCAAGCGACATCATCATCGCCTGACGACGCCTCCTATCGCCTGGCGATGCACACTAGTCTATGATTCCCTTCCGTGATCTCTTCACTACACCAGTCCAATTTTTGCATGATTTCTTACCAATACAGACCTAAAATTCCTCTAAATCATCATGGTTTCACAACATCACAAAAGTACATAATAGCAAACATCATATACATCATTCCACATCATTATAACATTAATTTATCACTAATTTCATCAAAACCATCATGGTATCAAATCCAAACAAAACCCAACACAATAACAATGATAAACACCCCTTACCTTAGATTATAGCAGGAAATCTATTCCTCTTGGTGTTCTATCACAAATCCTTTTGCCTTAGATCTCTCTTCTTTTCACCGCTTCCTCCAAATCTTACGATTACACAGAATGCTCGTTAAAAACTCTCAAATCTTCCTTATACCAAACTTACCCCTTGGACCTCTAATATGGTCTTCCACTATTGTCTTTATTTATTCTTCTCAAATGACTACTTTGCCCTTATCGTTTCTTAATACCAATATTACTCTATTTTACTAATTAAAATAATTCTAACCAATTATTTTAATTATTCTAAATTATCCAAAATCTTCTTAATTCCCAATAATTTCTATAACACATGAACATCACATAATCATCATAATCATCAAAACAACAAAGATCATCACAATTACTCATTATAACAAATTAAGAATTTAAATAAATAACTTAATTAATTTGGGGTGTTACATTACACACCTTTTAGCGCTTTAAGAGAAAACATTCAACATTAATGCATTTACATAGATTTTTGAGAAGAACAAATTGAAACACCGAAACAGATTTAGAAACACCCCAACATGGATAAGTATCGATATTGTTGCTTCTACAAAAGTAATGCACATAATAATAAAGAATGCATAAAATTTAAGAACGCTATATAATATTTGATTTGAAAAAAACACTATCAAAGTTTGCACAATAGGACAATAACTTATCCAAAGAAAGTAGGTCATGAGAAGGAAGCTTGCAGAGAAAAAGAGGCGGAGTGGCCAAGACAGAGAAACAAATCAATGACGAATAAGAGAGTGGGATACCAATGGCATATATTGGTGGATAAGGAGCTTTTACCTAGTGGGAAAGGCTTTTCATTCTCATGAACATTAAGGGAGAGTCATTCCAATCTTGGGAGGCCCTCCCAATTAATACTGGAGTAGAACCTAAAGGGGTAACAATTAGTAGAGAAGATAAACCCAAACATGACAAACCTCCACCAAAACGAATATCATTAACAACATGATGAGTGATATTAAAAAGTTTCCCCCACTTCTAAAAGGTCCATTGCAACTCAATTATGAGAAAGCTAAGGGATATGATATTGTAATAATAAAAATCGTATTAAGAACTGACCAAGAAGAGCCCGTCACAAATCTCATTTTGACAGAGTATTAATAAATGGGGTACCCGATTCTCACGTTCCACTGCTAATAAATGTCATCATGGCCAATTATGATGTGTGAAGTGTCTTAATAGACGTGTTTGAATCATTTTCTAATAGAACCATATGATTAGATTTGATTTGTAAACCACACTAGGTTACAAACTCTTACTAACTACTATGTATTCTCTCATTAACTACTATGTACTCATTTATTTCTTTAGAGAAATTAATAAGTATTACGTCATAATGATATTTATTTTAATTTATTTATCAATAAAAAAATAAAATATTATTTATTTATAAATACTATTTTGACAAAATATATTTTATTATATTCTTTGTATGATATTTATTTAAACATGCAATTTCATATATATTTTTCTTTAGATATAAGATAAAATTATAAAACGCAATTTTATACATCAAATTATAAACTTATTTTGACAACTATAAATTTAGTTTATGGTAATGTATGAATGATTAAACAAAAAATTATGTTTCTTTTATATTTATATTGATGACTCAATAAAAATTTTGTAAAACACTGAACAAACCCAAATCACATTGATTTGGTTTGATTTGGTTCGTTTTATTTTTAAAAATCAACTGAATCATATATTTTTTTCTCTTGCGGCTCAAATGATTTTTAGTGTCAAAAGCTCTCAAACTGCACCGCTAACATCCCGATTAATATTGTGCATCAAAAATCCTCTCTAGGTAACTTTGACCTTAAAATTGGTATTAGGAAATTCTTTTATTACTACGATTGGACTTTTCTTCTCAAAAGTTTTGAGTGCTTTTGGTTTTGACCGGAAATATTGCAATTGTATCCATTTTATCAAAGTCTAAGTCATCTATTTTCTTGCAAAAGAAAGCTAGGATAAAGAGATCATTTGGCACCTCTTTTGTTTAGCATTATTGAGGATGTTATGAGAAGATGAATTTCAAAGTTGGTGGCAGATCAAGATTTATCTTTGATCAAAGGTCCTAGGGTGTACTAATGTTCTTTCTTATGCTATGTATGTTGATGATTTGATGACATTTTGCATATGTAACCTAAGGAATGAGAATTTCTTGAAAGTTATTTTCTTAAATATGGGGAAGTTTATTAGCAGATCATCAACCATAATAAATCCATCATTTATGCCGGTTTCATATCTGTTTGAAGACAAGACATGATTATTCAAATGCTGGGTTTTTCTCTTGGCACCCTTCCATTTATATACCAGTTCCATATCTAAAATAGCACATAAGCAACAATATTTCAGATGACCAAACTGATTATGAAACTTGTATTCTATTTTAAATGAATCTTTTCAAATGCATGCTAGCTGTGTTTCTTTCTTCATATAAAGACACCACAAAGACACCAACAGAATAAATCATTGTATAAGTTGTGTTAAATTAACCATATATAGGAGAGATTAACCATTACAACTTATGGTATATTGTAGAATGTATTTTCATCAAAAGAAGAAGCATTACAAGTAACGTGTATAGGTGGTTATGTACATTGTGCAATTTCAAGTCTAGTGTACAAATTGCATACCAGTTATGATCGTCGGTATCGGTATTTAAATGACCGGTGATATAAATCATCACTCTATTATGTGAATATGTAAGGCAGGACTACCGCAAGCACATGTATTACTGTAATGGAGTCATATAAATTAGCCGATTTATACAACATATCGACGAAGATAATCCAATCGAGCTGAATGCTTGAGCTTCATGAGAGCCTTGACTTCGTGCTTTCTCACCATTTCCCTAGAGATGTTCAAGTTTGAGGCGATTTCTCCCAAAGTTCTGTCACCCTTACCATCAAGTCCAAATCTCTGTCTGATCACCAAGTTTTCCTTTGGCTTCAGGGAATCAAGCTAGAAAACAACAACAAAAATCTAACATTAGTTGCAGAATGTGACAATGGCAATATGATATTATTGAAAATTTAGCCAATTTCAGCAACTCGTCAAACAAATTGAATCATGTTCGTTGTTCAAATAATAAAACTGACTAGAATAGCCTATTGTAATATAGTACTAGTATCAAACCGAATCTTAAGAGGTTAGAGCCGTTACCACATCATCAAGAGCAAGCCTTAGTAGAGCAGGTTGCCTCCTGTTATCACCATCAAAACCACCATCATCAACGACGCCATTGATAAACTCTTCTTGCGTTGTTAGATGTCTTGCATGCAATGAAAGAAAGGGTTTTGCTGCCCTCATTACATCACGGTATCTTTCAGGGGATATATGAGCTCTTTCTATTATTTCTTCCTCTGTTGGTGGCTTCTGAAGCTCAAATGTTAACTCAATCTTAGCTTTTCGGATCTCTGCTCTAACCTGACAAAAATAAAAGATATCAGGTTCGGCCTAATCAATCAGCCGAGTTCATTTTTTATTTCCTATGTTTCTCAAAAGCCATATTTTCTTTGAATATCCTAGGCTGAAATCTTGTATATTCTACCAATATTGGACAAAGAAAATATGTAGAATCTTGTATATTCTACCAATATTGGACAAAGAAAATATGTAGATTGAAAAATAGATTGATTAGGAGTTAAAAGAAGTTGAAAATGAAAATAGAATAGGCTGCTGTGATGCTAACATGAAAAATATGTAACAAACAATTGAAGCATATGCTGATTAAACCAAAAATATTAGACAGCATGTGTAAGAGGAAGAATACATACCGACTCAAGTCCGAAGGGGACACGTGAGAAGCTTGAGAGGGTCATGGATCGAATGATAGCATGTCTTATCCAAAACAAACTATAGGTTGAAAGTCGAAATCTTCGGTTTGGCTCAAAACGGTCAATTGCAGTTATAAGTCCCTTAACTCCGGCCTGACAAAGATCTTGAAACCTTTGGCTATTAGCTAAATCCGAAAAATATCTGTTGATCACGAACAAGACAAGCCGAAGATTGTGCTGCAAAAGATCATATGACCACCATTTCTTAATCATTGATAGAACTTACTCATTAATGTCACTTAGTCATAATACTAATTAAAATGTCTCCACAAATATCTACATAGTAAGATTTGATCGGACATATGCGCAAGACTTTCTTACACCATCAATGCATATTCTTTACACTCATAAGAAACAACAATCAAACCATATTTCTAGAACAATCATGGGTGGTGTATCTCTCTTTGAAATTTTATGTGATTTTGTGATGTTGAAATTGTGACTCAATCTCTCTTCAAAATTAGTTACTGATTATTTCAAGACCCCACTTACAAAGAGAGACATACCAAATTTTAAGATTACAAAGTCAGCAAAATTTTTTAATGTAAACTGAACATCATGGTTAAACTCTGATTACTACTTTTGGGATGGATATTTGTTAAGTGAGCTTCTGTCAAAATTAGCATGAGATAGATGTTCACGCAAATTAGCCAAGTACGACTCTAGATAGTGTATTGAGGATTTAGTCAGCTTCTGAGAATAGATGATGAAAATGATCGCTACTCAGTCCTGAATCCCTCTTATAAGTTGAGTTGACAACTATCAAAAGAACTTGTTTATGCCACACTTAATTCAGAAAGAATATGATAGGAAGATAACTATCATTCATCACAATCAGTAATCTATAACCATGTCTTGATTCTTGAGCCAAAATGTTAGCTTGACCCAGAAATCTTGGGGAATACAGTCCAATAATTTGAGTCCTGAGTCATTAGGTGAAATTGTTTGTTTAGTCTGAGGACAGCACAAAAGCATAAGCGAGTATACAAACCCTCAGACCTTGAGGCATTGCCGTGAGGAGAATGTGGCTTGCTAATGGCCCAAAATCTTGGGAGGGTACAAACCGGATGGATATCTAAGTAATATTATATAGGCAATCTTATAAACTAGCTGAAAGCCAAACTGTAAAAAAATCGAACAATTTGAATTACCTTTATAAGCTTGTTTCTTGCAGCTCGACCAACCTCTATTGCTTTCTTTACTTTAGCAGGGCTCATGTTTGTTGCCTCACCTATTTCCTCCTCTGTAGCTTCTCTTTCCAGCTCCTTCTGTAAATCTTCTTTCACTTGAAGGAGTGCCTGAAAATTAACAATTATTACTTATAAACAAATAGAATCAAATTCTGAGTTTTTGCCTAACATCAGTGACCATTTATATTGGAAATAATCAAAGAAAGTGTGTCCCCAGAGATGAAATTATATTAGTTAGCTGCTCACCTCCATTGGTTGCATCAGCTTGAATAAAAACGCATGCTCCGAAGAAGGAAGAACTGGAGGTATTTTCATTTTTTTCCAGTCCAGGCTCACCAAATCAGCTGAAATTGAATACTCCCTAAGAAGTTCCTCAAATTTCCCAATCCTATTCCTGCCATTTCTCTTCTTTCGAGTTGGAGTAACATCTTCACTACCATTATCCATTTTTAGTGCAATCCTCTCATCAAGATTCATCCGTTTGGCTTTCTTTTTCTGAGTTCTAACCACTCTATCATTCTCTAACTCCTCTTTACTCACACCACCATTCTTCTTACCCCTTCGAGAGACTATCTTAATTTCACTATCTATATAATCTGCATCACACTCATCGGACGTTGGACTAAGTTTATATATATTTTCAAGTATGGCAGCAGCTTCATTATAATCCACATCCAACGACGACTGAAAACTTTCCTCAACTAAAACACCTCTTGCTTTCTTAGGTAATTTTTTGGTTTTCCCTATCCTTTTCTTGTCTGTCTTCGCTGATTCAACTTGCATAGGAATTTTCTCTTTTGTAACAACCAAACTCGTGTCATTCTGTTTATCTCCTTTAAACGCTACCGTTAACGGTCTCTTCAATACCGGATGATGAGTTGAAAACTTCGTATTCAACCCTAGCGGAGTTCGAGCAGCTGAGCTAGAAACAGTCACAACTCCCATACCAGGTTTGCCTAATCAGTATTTATAAAGAAATTCAAATGCCAGATCCTGCAACACCACAATGTCATTAAATTACCTAATGAATCTAGAACATAGCTACTAGCATCACTGAATTATCAACCAGTAAACACAAAAATCACTTGATTAACCACTCAATTTAGCTCTTATATTAATACCAAAATAAGAATACATGAACACAAAACAAAATAAATAAATAAATAAATCTACTGCTTTACTAAACTAGCCACAAATAATTATCTATGAAGCACAGAGACCCCGATTCTGATACTGACACTCCGACACCAGTAATAATTTTAAAAAAATAAATATAATTACAAGTGTCTGTGACTCAATGCACTGCAAGTGTCAGTGCAGGTGTGCCACATCGACACAAACACAAATCACACATTTTTCATAGGTATAAGTGCTGCACACTGATGATGAATCAATAAGATATTTCAACCAAAGAAATTAATAATCTTAACTAAGTTATTGATTACTTCAAATTACAAGTTTCATAAAAACATCATTCAACTAAACTCTATTTCTCTATAATCAGTGATCAGAAAAAAAGGAATAGAAAATTGTGTAATCAATTCAAAGAAACACATATTCAAAAAAAAAAACATTGAAGCAGTTCGTAGTAATTACCTTTGATCACTGAATCGATGAATCTAGACGAAGAATCTATTCAATGAAATGAAAGAGAAGGTATAATAAGAACTTGAGGTTGTAGTATTTAACTCAAATTCGAAAATTACGGTAACCACAATTTTTGTGTTTGAGAAATCAACGGTTGAGAACTGGCGTCTATTAGATCTACGGTGGATGAGCGAACACGTGAGGTTTGAACTGGAATAAGATGATGACGTGGATGCTTTAAGAAGAAGATAGTGTTGGAGAATGAACGACGTGGCGTTTTTGGAGTGGAGGAGGAGATATTTTGTGAATTAAATAAAAATAAAAATTGTGGATCCTGAGTTTTACACGTGGATGATGAAATATTTGGTTACTTTATTGAGAGAGGAAATTATATAAGAGGTGTTGTATTGAATACGTAGCACGTTATAAACCGTCATTCTTTGCCACGTTTAGGAGCATTCATCCATGGCCTTTCTAAAAGAAAAGTCTCACTATTAATTAGGATTATTATTATTAAGAAAAAGTTAACATGTATCATAAAACATAAATTAATAAATTATTTATAAAAATATTTTATTGAACTATCTGTATTTAATATTTTGAAAATTTAAATATAATTTTATTATATTTAATTATTATATTTAATTTTTTTAATTATAATATTTTTAATATGTGTTCTTAAGATATATATTACAATCTTTATTATTATTATTATATTTATATTTATAATAAATTATTTTGACTATAATTTAGTTTTATTTTAATTTTTTTTTATAAAAGATATATTATTTTAATTTTAAATCATGAAAAATATAAGTGATAATCTAACTTGTAATTTGAGAACGATAAACTTTAAATAAAGAAAATATAATAAATAAATAAAATAGGAGGTCTGACTAAACAATTACATATTAGTCTTAAAAAGATAATACAATTAAAAAAATAAAAGTTACATGTAAAAGTAAATAAATTGGACAAAAACTCAGTAAATAACTCAATGCAAAGTAGATAGAAACACACAAAGCACAATCCAATGAATTCAACGTGGGGCTTGAAACTAAATTACAAAATAAAAATACAAAAATTCGCAAGCATTCTAAATAACCAGAGACGAGCTTGAAAAACAAAACTCATCTTTTGAAGAATGGTAAATGTTTTGACCATTAACGCAGACAAATACACATACCAATAGCCCTTGTGAAATAAACTGCAACAAGCTTAAAGCTCTTTCGAGCCTACTCAAATGAAATCGCACCGAGCTAGCTCAAACACATCCTATCAAACAACAACAAAGCATCACATCGACAAAAAGGCTATAATCACTACAAAACCACTAGTGTGGTGTCAAACCTCAAACACAGTGAAAATTGTAGATCTCATCAGATCTGGAAAGAACCAATGAATAAAGTTAAGAATCCACCACCAACACTAGCAAGTCGTAATTTGAGAACAACAACCGCTAAATTCAACTCGTAAACATTGACGCCAGTTTGAAACGAAAGAAGGAGCAAGTGTTTGAAAAGAACTCATGCAACATTTGCTCCAATAAATGAACCCAAAAAAGCAGTGGTGAGATCCATAACTGGTCCGACCAATCATCGCCAGAATCCATTTGCCAACGAACATAAAGAGATCAAATAGAGAACTGAAATCACCCTTGTCAAGGCTACGTGAGATTCGTCGAAAACATATGTGATTCCAACCACTGTGGGAGTGTTTATTGGTGTTTTTAGTAAACAATCACGATTTTTAATTCACTTGTAGGATAACATTAAAAAATCTTAGACAATACTTTGTGAATATTTTGAGAGAATGTAACTGGAAGAATTTCTAATGCATATAACACAAGAAATAAAGTAAAAGTATTTGAATTAACAACAACAAGCAGAGAAATAAACAATAAATAAAGCAAACAAAATGCTTGAATTTAAAAGTGGAACATAAGTTTATACATTTCTCACAAACTTGTTATCTCAGTGAATCAGATGTGTGAGTTCTAAAGAGAACAAAAATGAAATGCACACCCTAATTACAGAATCAAAATTTACTTATATACTAGGTACGTTATGAACTACCAACAACATTTATCTCTTAAAAATACGATAGGTATGTTGCTACATATGCTTTCATCTTCTGAATTGTTTCCACGTGTCTTTGGCTCTTGATCTGCTTCAAATCGCCAATGTTTGTCGAAAAATGTCTACAAGCCTTCCAATCACATTTGTCGAAATAGTCACTTGCATCGAGTTTGTAACTTGATGTAGAAAATATGACCCCACATATTTGTCAAAAATATTTAGCAAAAATCTCCGAACTTTTTTTATTAATAACCATGTATTAAAAAAATATTTCGCAAATAACCGGGTTTCGGAAAAAAATACACAAATAACCATGTTTCAGATGGCTCCACAAAGGAGGAGCCATCTCAATTGGCGCATGCACCTAGGGTTTTGCCCTAGGCTCCATCTCACTTGGCGCCTCCCTTGTCTTTTAGCCAAGTGAGATGGCGCATGCTCCTTAAAAATGAGAGGAGGCGCCATCTCACTTGGCGCCTAGGGAAAAACTAGGGCAAAATGTTGTTTTATAAATAATTCGTCCGTTTCTTTGAAATTTCTCACACTTTCTCGCACTGTATTTTTATTTTGTACTTCGTTATTTGCGTAATGACGTCGCCTATGATTTTTAGCAGAGATGGTTACGTTATATTCTCCGTCACGAAACCTGCGATGAAAATGAAATTCTGGCACATTCACTCCATGGAGCGTCTGAAGCGGGAGTTGATGCGGTGGCTAGATGGAGACATCGCGGAGGGGGAAAAAATTCGAAAGATCCAGCGAAAACGAACACCCTTAGTCTTTGCTAACCACGCCTTATGGTAAGACGAAGTGTAGTTAAAAACCGTGGTGATGTGGGAGATGATTGTTTTCACCTTCAAAGAAGGGTCGTTGCTGACCAGGGGTAGGATTTCTTGACAGATTAGATCATGGTTGAGTTTTCGGTGGTCTTGTGATTGAGTGGAACTTACACAAGTATGGGTAGTCATGGATCCTATGACCCAGCAGTCACCCCTTAGTCTGTATGATGCGGTCAGCTTGAACATATAGTCAGGGTGGACACACTTGATCTTGTACCTTTCCGGGTTTACACGATCCACCTTATAATCAACCGAGTTGAGCATGTGAAATTTTTTGATGGCCCTGATGCATTTCTCTCTGTTACGAAACTTGTCCTTCTCTTTTAAATTTTCATCCGACTGCATATACGGTTGGAAAAACAAGTCAGTAGAAGGTTCATCTCCGCCCATGTTGAAGTTTGTCATGTGCGTAGGTGGTGTGTAGATTTTGTCAGTAGGAATACTTGGGATGCCATCATCGTCAGAATCGTCGTTCACCATTTCATCAAACTCTAACTCGTTATCTTCTTCTTCATCATCAACTGCATCCACCTCATCTTGTTCATTCTCCAAAGGATCAACCTCCTGTGTCACCGGAGGCTCTACCTCCTGTGTCACCGGAGGGTCTTGAAGCAAAACGTACAACTCAATAGAGTCGTTTCCAGAATAGACATGGCTGGAAATCATGTTCTGGAGATCCTCGTCATCTTGAACTTCAACCTTATAAAAAATTACTTGGTTGTTTCCAAAAAAGATTGGACTCTGATAAAATATCTGGGATACCGGGCCTCGTTCAAGTTTGGCCTCCAATCTTTTCTTAAAGTACGAGAAATTTGCTTTTCCGTTTAAGAGAAATCGAACGTTGTCGGTGTTTCTAAACAAAAACCCAACTGTGGGACACATGTATGTCTCACCGTTGAAATGTGCTTTGACAAAAAATTGTGGTGAAGAGGCCATTGTGTAGAATTGTTTTAAGGTTTGAAGGTTGGAATGTTTGAGGTTTATTGATTGTATGAAGGTATGAATGCTGGAATGTTTGAAAGTTTGATGACTGATTCGAAGGTTGGAAGATTTTACAGATTATGTGAATGAATGTTATGTTCAACGTAAGGCAAAAAATTTCAATTAAGTAAGGGATGCAACCCCCCAAGGCTGCCAATAATATTACATGCAATAATGAAACCCCATAGCCTGCCACCTATCCTGGCCCTATTCTGCATGCAACAAAGAATGGAATCCCAAATGCTGTCACGTAGCCTGAGCCAATGCTGTAAGAAGTGACACCTCTTATTCGCCAAATGGGGTGGCGACACCATTCATTTTTGTACTCTTTCGCCAAGTGAGATGGCGCCTCCCTTACTGTCCAATCGTGATACATGCATGGGCTTATGAAACCCCATAGCCTGCCACCTATCCTGGCCCTATTCTGCACACATAAATGTTTTGTGTAAGACTCCACCCATCA